GGGCTCCTGCATGTCTGCTTCCATATTTGTCCATGTTTGGTTTTCCCAACTTGACTGCCCACACCTTGAAGAATGGGACAATGTTACAAGCCAAACTGGGAGTCAGGAGACCTCTTCCAAAGAAGTTCTTGGTGTGACCTTTTAAGTGTGTCCCTTTCCCCTCTAACCTGGTTTCTTCACTTGTAGAATAGAATCATAATCACTAAGGCCCCTCCAGTTGTAATATTTGGCTCTGACCCTAAGCCTGCGTGTTGTGCAAAAGGCAGGGAGAGATCCAGGGAGCTCATCTCTGAGAAGTCTGTCGTTGCTGTTGAATGAGTCAGACTCACTAAGAGGTTAACCCTGGGCTTAGGGAGTATTATAATAGTTCAGGCTTCCAAGATCCATGGGTCCCCCTTCCTAGATTGCAAAGCCCTCCTGCCTCAGTGCCTGTGTTTCTAGAATGCCACTTCCTTAGGAATCACTGAGGCTTCCTTCTCCTTCACTGAAGGTGTATGGACCTGTACACTGGATCATGCATGCTCATAGGGACTGGGCTCCTGCATGCCTCTTAGAAGCTTCCTATCGTTGCTTTGGGGCTTGGGGGAACATTGTCTTTCCAAGTGGTTACAGTAGTTGGGGTAGACCACTTTTGGGGTCTTACCTGGGAGGGATCACAGCATACCTCAGCCTTTACTATTAAGAGCCTAGACTCAATTTAAGAGTATATAAGGGTCTTCCCAGTGGCAGACAGCTCAGAGACCTGGACACCTGAGTAAACTATGCTTTTTGGTTCCAGAAACAGATACTCACACAGACCAGGCCAACTATGGTGTTGGAATAGAGGCAGGGACCTTATTATGAAGTGTTTATAAGATGAATGGAATCTTCTAGAAACCTAAAACCAGACAGAATCCCTCAATCAATGGCAAGCTTCCTAGTACTTGATACTGGAAGGTCACCCTTGTTCCAAGCCTCCTCCTTGGGGGACCTCACTCCAATGCCCTGCCATGAATGCGACCCCCCACTCTCCACAGGTCAGCTTCTCTGTGCTTCTCTGCCCTAGTCTCATTCTCTTAGTGTTTTCCAAAATGCCTCCGGTAGAACACAGAACAATTTTGAGAAGGCACATGAATGAACATTTTTATTTTGAATGCTATTTAATTTATACTTGGGGAAAATATATCTAAAATGTGAGTTGATTGAAAGAAAAATTATATATATATTCAAGGTGAGTTGAAAGAAAAATTATATATATATATGCTATAT